TGCGTGCGTGCGTGCGTGCGTGCGTGCGTGCATGCGTGCGTGCGTGCGTGCGTGCGTGCGTGCGTGCGTGCGTCGCGATGCGTGCGTGCGTGCGTGCGTGCGTGCGTGCGTGCGTGCGTGCGTGCGTGCGTGCGTGCGTGCGTGCGTGCGTGCGTGCGTGCGTGGGTGGGTGGGTGGGTGGGTGGGTGGGTGGGTGGGTGGGTGGGTGGGTGGGTGGGTGGGTGGGTGGGTGGGTGTGTGTGTGTGTGTGTTTGTGCTTTGACTGAAATGCCACCCCTGAATAGGAGATTCGCACGCGCATTTTCCTGCTGTAAAACCGCCCTATATCTCACGGAAACTGATGGTTTTGTACGAGAAGGACCCCTGGAAGAACCGAGAATGAACTGGGCTGTCCCAAAAACCTCAAACCAGCCACGGCGTCCTCACAACGGACCTGCAACTCTAGACACCTCTAGTCTGTGCATGGGATGCGATCCGGCCTTGGCCAAGTGGCAAAGGGACGATGCAAGATCATACTTCGATGACTGGATGTAGATCTCAGCTAGAAGAAGCCACGCTCTCCTTAGCCGCTTGCCAGCGTTGACTGTCACACAACATCCCGCGGAACCCCCCATCTCAACCCTTGTGACTTTGATCGAAATTCAATCGTCCAGCTTCAAACCGTGAATGCCAAGTCTCTCAAAATCGTCCATGAACTCCGGGTTGTAGCCTGAGGTGTGGCTCTCACAGTTTGTATTGCCACCGTTGCATGGGCGGCGAAGCCCAATCAGCGTCAAGGATGCATACCAAACGAGCCATGCGCAACACCTGAGGCCCGTGCCCTTCTTGGCCAAGTCAGCAATGCGCTTCAGCTGATTTCTGGCTTTCGTCTGCTGCTTTTGGATAATGAGACCTTCAGAGAGATGTGAGCGTGTTTGGAATATAGCCCCTTGGACATGGGGCTTGAAACCGTTCGGTTGCAAGCAACACAGCATGGCAAGAACCCGACCTTGCGACATTGCCAAAAGTGCCGGGATGTAGTCCTGGACAGAATGGCGCATTTTCTTCTTTGTGTCACACTGACAACCAAGTCCTTTTTGTCGTTGTAGATGTCCATGAGTTGGCTAAGAGCATGCTCAACGTTGGTCTTCTGCTTGGTGAACATGAGGCTCTGGCACTGGTAGACCTCTTCTCAAGCCGCGTTGCAACTTCGCAACACCGATGGTCACGTTAGATGCTCGACTTTGGGAGGTTTAAGGTACGAGTTATCCACTTCTCAACTTGCAAGACCATCATTCGGTATTAGTGATCACAGGATAGTCCAAAGTTTGTGTGAATATACATTTCTGTGATAGCGAAATGAGCCATTCCTATGACTACCTCGTCACTCTCACAGGCGCGCCCTTATTGCAGAAAGTCGCACAAAACCCCCAAGCATGGCCTACAAACCCATGAACGTCCTACCAGCTGTGCTTGGCTTCGAGCCTTCAGCCGAGGGTTCCAGGACTGCTTGTTCACCTGGCTGAGCTCCTTGAGAAGGTTGTCCACTTCTCTAAGGTTGTCCTCGGCCCCAAAAAGTCAACCCAAAAGCCCCAACAATGAATGCTAAAAGGGTCTCACAAGAGCCTGTTGGAGGATCACACAGGTTTGGGGGGGGGGGGACTCAGCAACTTATCAGCTAACTCCTGCGCCCGGCGAGACAACACACGAGCAAATTGACTTTGCAGCCAGGGCACATTCAGCGGCTCTGTAGCCACATCCAAGGAATCCAACCCAGCATTGGGGTCCGGGTTCAGGTAAATCTCGATCATGTGAGTCAAGGCCTCCATGCAGCACCAGGCAAAACCAGTCCAAAATTGTCTAGTTTCGTTCAAGTGCACGAAACAGAATTGCGCAAAAAATGGCCTCGGCAAGCTGGTGCAACCATGGTGTAGTGATGAGTACGGTTTCTGTTCACAAATTGCAGTTGCTTACAATCCCAAGATTTGCATGGAGTTCACTTTCGGGTGTTCAACCTCCTCCTCGCCCTTCCGTCCCAGCCCACACCTCCACACGGAAGTCGGGGTCGCGGCGGGCAAAGTTCAGCTCCACCAGAGCGTCCTGACCCATCCGTTACCCCCGAGTCATCAACCTGGCGGGTTGGTTCTCCCCTCAAAATAATAAAGATTTGCCTCTAAAATGGGACAGCCCCTCTTAATCAACTAGGAGCCTATGAAGGGTCAAATTTACCAGGAAATCAGGCCGAAAACTGCACGAAACGTCTGGGGCGGATGGTTCCCATGTGAGGTGACTCAGGTGCCTGCAAGAGAACATACTTATCAACCATTTGGCCAGCATACTTCATCCGCCTGCAATTAGCGATCCCCAAACAATGAACCTGCATGGGTCAAGGCCCCACCCTCTGGTCCTGCTGCTTGCTGATCCACCTGTAGTAGGTGCCCCGGCAAAAGCGCAGGCCAGCCTCACGCTCCGGAGACCGCGTGCACGCCTGCCAAAGCCGATCGGATCTCGGCAAGGGAGCCCTTTCCGTCATCTTCCTTCTGGGATGAAGGCTATAAGATATAACCATGATAAGTGGACTATAACCAGGCTTACTAACCACTTACTGACTACCCTGCCCCTTTAAGCAAGGGCATGTGATTCGGAACGCAACACCACCCTTCCCTCGCCTTCTCTGCAGCCTGAATGTACTTGGGCGCATCGCGGAGCCGGCCGGCTCTCCTTAGCAAGAAGATCAGCTTGGAGAGGGCTGTGTAATTGCAGGGCTTCTTCTCCAAAAGCGCTTGGTAGTAGAAGGTGGCATCCTATCAGGTTCGGCGGCTTCTGCCAGCTTGCTTGGAGCAAATAGAAGGCACGAATCAGTGTGTCGCAATCGAACATCAATAGGGCCAGGTGTGTTCTTACACCATGTAGTGAAAGGAAAGGCGGCGAAGAAGTTTCAGCTAAGCAAATAGAAAGCACGATCCCTTAGAGTTGCGATAACCTTTCCAGGGGCTTTCGAGTTGTCATGAAGACAAAACACGAAACGCCCATCCTTGTACTCTTGAGCACCACCATCACTGCGCCCTCCTTGTGCTGCCAGCATCATATTCAGCTCGGCCATGAGCATGGATGCTTCTTCGTTGGAAGGATCCACACGCAGGAGTGTCATGAGCTGCTTCTCGCACACGTCCAGCTCGTTCTTATGGAGGTGGATGCGGGCCAAAGCCAGGATGCTCTTCTCGTGAGAATCGTCGTGACGCAGAGTTTCCCCATAGTAACCTACCGCCAGGGTGGGAATTTCGTCCAGAAGGAGAGTGCAACCCAACTAGTCAAAGGACCCTTCCCCTTTCAAATGCCTTTCACGGTGCCCTTCGATTCGCTATTGGGGCTGCAAGGAGTCCCAGCCTACCGCATACTCCAAGTTCCGCTCACGGGTCTCATAGTACTCCCCAAGCATGAAGTTCAGCTCAGCGCTTTCTTGGCGCAAAAGTTTCAGCGTCTCCTGTGGGCAAGGTTTCGTAGCTGCTGGCAAGGGTTCTGCAAGAGCTCCCTACGAACCATTCATTCTCAGGTTTACCACTGATCGGAGCTCGCCGTGTAAAATGTATGTTTTTGGATGCTATGTTTGGGGCCCAATTCCACATCAGCTTCCATTGATCTAGCTTCCCATGAACGGGAATAGGGAAATACAAATTCCAGGCTACCGTTTTGCTGGCAAGAGATCATTCGTGTGTTTAAGTATGTTTTTGCCTTGAGCAGCGCCCAAAAACCGTGGATGTTTCGTTCTGCCAAATGGTTGCAAAGGTTTATATTAGTCTCACCCTCAACCCATGAAACCGGGCAGTAGAACCTGCCAAAATGGCCAATTGGACTTTGGGCTGCTCAGGGGTTTCGCCACGTTCATCCCCAGAAAAAAAAAAGGAAACCGACTTCAACGGCAAACCAAAAGACACCAACCCCGCCTGGCAATTTGCTCCCCTTTGACAAACACCGCTGGGTCTCAAACAGGGAAAAAAGAACATGAACAGCCACCCCTCCCTTGGTTTCCTTTTGTAAAAATGGCCTCCCAAAAGTCGGCGTTTTGCTTTTTTCCTTTTGTTCAAATGGCCCATCCTCATCATCCACCCGGACCTGGGCCAGCAGCTCATTCAGCAGATCCCTCGCTTGGCGGAGGCACTGGGAGCACTGGGGCACGGCGCTGGAGCCGCCGCCCACGTTGGCGCGGGAGTCCGCGAAGTCGCTGTGGACCCTCGCCAGCTGCACCAAGGTCTCCACCCGGTACCTCACCCCAAACATGGGACCCTGGTAAATGGAGCCATGAACCAAAACCTGCGGTTTTCTGGTGGTTCAATTTTGACTCATACCCAAATGACTTGCTGGTGCTCAGTAGGGAATGTGGGAATGAACCCAGGGATTCCCTTAAAGGAAACCACAAGGGATGGTTTGCAAGGGTCACCCCCTCATTCCCTGCTTAGCACCAGCGAGATGAGGAGACAGGAAAAGACCCGAGAAACCAAAAGAAGACCACGTCAGTTTTTTGCGTCCCTCGCCACCTAGTTGGTGGCTTGGTATCATTAGGGGGCACCTTCCCCAATTGCTTGCAAAAACTGGGGTTCAATCCTCGAGACACCGATCCAAACCACCAAATAAGGGGTACATGAAAAAGGGGAAAAGTTAGAAAGGCAAAAACGAAGTCTGGCGATGGTGCTTGGTGGTCTTGAAGCCCTCTTCCATGACCTCAGGCTTTCGGCGCAGCTTTCGAAGGACTCATGGAATGAGCGGTTTCATTTGAAGTCGGTGGGTAATTTTCCTCACGGCTTGTGAAAGGACACAGACTTCAATCCACATAGGTTTAGTTTAATTTGGGCATTCCCCTCAAAGCACACATGCACACCAAGTGAACCAATATTGAGCTTGCACTCCTGGACTGGGACTGAGACTGAAAGTAATTGGTCATTTTGGGCTTCGTGGTTGAACTCACCAAGGGCACGTATTCTCCTTCTTTCTGGGTCCAAAGTGACATCCTCAAGTTCTCCTTCAGAATGGCGACTTGTTCAAAGTAACATTCAAATCCTTCCCCTATGAATTAACCTGGAACACAAAGAAATGAGCCCCAAAAAAAGATTCCTCTACACACGGATGGAGTTTGGGGTTCCATGGCCATCTGCAGAAGGCCCCCAGTTTCTCCCTACGCCCCGCCTCCTGCAGAGCTTCCTCCAGCTCCCGAATGGCATCATCCCAGCGCTGGAGCCGGCGGTACAGCTTCGCCAGGTCTTGCCGCAGCTCCTGCCAGGTGGATTCACAAAGTCTGTTTCGCACCTGTGGTTTTCATCCGTTCCGACTGATTGGATGCCTTTCCTTTTCTGAGCAACCAAGGCAAGGCAAGCAAAAGGGACCTGCACCGCCCAGACCGCCAAAAAAACGTGTTCTTTTGCGCCTAAAAAGCTTGTTCTTTTGAGGCACCCTTTCGGTAAGTTGGCACCCCAACAACCTCACAAACTGAGAGCCGTTTGCATTGCTGGTATCTGCGGGTAAGAGGGTTCCCTACATTGCCCCCTTAAACGCAACTCCACTCAAAGCAAACTCACTTGAGCTTGGTCTAAAAGATGATGGTTCAAACCACCAAAGCTCTGAGTCCCTTCTCGCCTTTTCAGCAAGTTGATATTTTTGGAAGGGAAGCCAACCAACAAATTGACCAGTTGCTGAGTGCGGGTGCGGGAAAACCGCACTGGTCGAAAGAAGACGCAGCTCCTGCTGCTGCGCCGACTTCTTGCGCAGCGCGTCGTGGTAGTATTGGATGGCCCTGGTTTCGGAGTCGATTTTCGCTCGCTACCGGAGGCTCCAAGAAACATACCTCTCACTCTGCACCCAAGGCCAAGGTGGCTGGTGTCTGGAAAGAACCAAGGATGACAAGGAAAATGCCGCCATACGCACACACAAACAAAAAGCACCGAGAAGTAGATTGGTTTGGACAACTTCCCTTGACGAGGATGAAAGGGCCTCTCGCTCCCAATCTTTCGATGCTGATGTGAGGCCCACAAAGAACATAGCCTTTGTTTTCTCATGAATCCCTGACAG